GCTTCACTTTCAGTGCAAAATTCACAACAGGGATTTATATATTTTCATTTTTGAAAAAGTAAGATACTTGTATACCACTTTATAATATAAGAAATCTCAAAGCAGGCTACAAAATTCTTAAAAAAAACCCCCATAAAACAATACCATAGACCCCTGCAGCAGGAAACCATGGTGGTCACTGTTGAGCAGGGGTCAGCAAACTTTTTCAGCAGAGGGCCAGTCCAATGTCCTTCAGACCTTGTGGGGGGCCGGACTATATTTTTTTTTGGGGGGGGGAATGAACAAATTCCTATGCCCCACAAATAACCCAGGGATGAATTTTAAATAAAAGCACACATTCTACTCATGTAAAAACACCAGGCAGGCCCCACAAATAATCCAGAGATGCATTTTAAATAAAAGGGCGCATTCTACTCATGTAAAAATGCGCTGATTCCTGGACCATCCGTGGGCTGTGTGTCCTACTTTATGCAGAAAAGTTTTCTGCCTTTATGGTTATCCTGCTTCAACACACCCTCTTATTACAGGAGTGGGGGGCCTGGGGCAACTCACGTCAGCCTCATGAGCACGGCGAATGGTCAGGGAGGAGGAGAGCTACAATCCAGCAACATCTGGAGAGCCACAGATCCCACCCCCCGTTCTGTTAGAAGAGCTGTCTTGTCCCAGACATTTTAAATATTTTTAAAACACACACATGAGGAATGGGTAGATAGCACTTGAACAACAAACTGAGCAGGCACACAGGTCACCTTCCCCAGGGTCGCCCTCACTAGGATGGGAAATATTGTGTTTCTATTTAAATTACAACAATTAATTCTAGCTAAATTGAATAAATTATGATACTATTTTAAAATAATAGTACTGATATCTAGATTTGCATCTATTCATAGCAATTAGTGCATGCAAATTTTATGCAAATCTGCCACCTTTCTCATTGCGATGCGTTTCCTCTCTTTCTTGGCAATGTTTGCAGTATCTGTCGCTCACACTGGGCAGTGCCAGAATTTATGCATGATGCGCCTATTGGGTGTAAAGGACTTTCCCTGGAAAACCGAGGCTTCCAAAGTGGGGCCAGGTAGAAAATCCCCAGGCTTTTATTGAAGTTGCCTCTCTTTCTTTTGATGGCAGCTTGAGATAGCCAGAAACTGAAGTCCACTTTGAGGAAATTTTAGTGAGGAAGCCTTATCTTTAGAAAACAAAACGATGCAGAAGCGAGACGATTTGTAAGGCTCTTGACTTTTCTTTCTTTCTGTGTTATCTGCCCTATACTCTACCCCCGTGAGCCTGCATTGATTTCCTTGCAGGTTGCATTAGTTCCAGTCATGGAGACACTTGTTTCTCCACAGCTAATGCAAAGCTACAGCAAACGTTTTCCTGGTGACTGGCTTTCTTGTAAGATGAAGGACCTCCAGTCCGTTGGGGAGTGCATCGCAAGTCCTTCTCTGCTAAAGATATGGTGGTGGTAGGGGGTAGCCCATCTTTGGGAAATGTGTTCATGCGAGAGAGAGAGATTTCATACACACGCCTTCTTCAAATGCTTCGTTTCTGCCGAGAGCAATCTGTTGCAAAATGCTACTAGTCCCAGCAGTATGTTAGAACCCAAATGGATTTGGGAAAAGGAGGTGGGAGCTGCTGTTGATCACAGGAAGCGGTTTTGTCTGTGAGGTTGGCCATCAACGGCTAGCCCTAGGACAACAGAGCAAGGAAGCAGTCGGGGCACCTACCTGGTCACAGCCATTCCTTCTATGGTGAGATGTTTTGCAATTCTATTTAAATTGGAGCAATCATAGCAAATTAGAATGTGTAGATTTTATGCAAACCTCTTTTTCTTCCCTCTTTCTCTCTCTCCTTCCTATTTTGCGGTAATGCATTTCCTCTTTGTCATGACCATAATTCTATGTCAAAATATGGGCAGAGGGCGCTGCACTAAAATCCAGCGGTGGCAGTCTGAAACTTCTATATCTGTTACTTTCTTTGAAGAGGTGGTAAAGCCCAGGAAGGGCTACCCTTTCAACATAGAAGGTTATTCTGTAAAAGGGATATTATTATTATTATTATTAGCCAGGCTGCAGCTTAGGCTTCCACAGAGTTGTAGGGGTTCAAATAGTTACTGACACTGGAACACGAACGCTGAGAGGGTTCATCATTTACAGAATGAGTACTTGCACGCTGCTTCCAAACTTATGGAATAGTTTTCTTTCCTTCCAGATCCTGTTCTACTCATGAAGGGAAGGGAGGGAAGACAGTAATGGACTGGGGAAGACTATTGTAAGACAGAGCAGTTGCCCAGAGATCCGGTGAAAGGGTCCAATAGCCAAGCCAGGCAATGCTTCTTGGACACAGATGCACCCTGTCCTGCAGCTGCCCACACCCAAACGCCTCACCTGTAACTTGACCCTTTGGCTTTCCTTGGCTGTTGTAATCTTGATATGTCCCCTCCTCACTCTGGGCTTTGGGATTTAACAGGCAGTCAGTCTTCCCTTCATTTTAGGAGACACATCTCTTTCCTGGAAGACAAATAGGGATTGAGTAATACGCCATTCTGGTTAATGAGGTAATTTAAATGCAAATTAATATATGAAGATATCTTGGAAAATTCCTGCTGTTTTGTAAATAAATGCAGTTTACTAAAACATTTTTAGACAAACAGTTCTCATCTTAAACTCGACCCCCCCCCTCTTTTGGTTAGTTCTGCCAATAATCATCCTGGGGGGTTTCTTTAAGCTAAGAGTCCCACTTTCCCTCCATTTATTCCTCACTCATTTCCCCCCCCTCCCAAAGGTCTGAATAATGGAAGAGATAACAACCTTAAAGATAGAACTGGGAGCAGCAACTAGAATTGATTTGGGAATAAAATATTTATATGCTTGCCTTTGGATTGGCAGGAAGGGGCAACGAAATGGGATGGTGACTGTTCTGTGTGTTCAAACATGCAGCTGCCCCCAACCCTGTAAGCAGCCAGAGGATGGAGGTCCAGTTTTAGACACAAAAGGGATACATGGTTAGGAGGTCTGAACCCTCCCCCTGCTCAGGACTTCCTCTCTCTCAGTCCTGGCATTTTATTTCTACCCAAGAATCTAATACCAAAAGGAGCCCTACTGGCAGAAACAGAGCAGGGACTTTTGTCCATTTCACAAAATTAAATGAATTCTGGGACATTATTTGTAAACTTCTTTTAAACTGACTGCTTCCATAGATACTGAAATTTTTAGTGGTGATCCAAGCACACCCCCATTGTCCTTTAAAAAGAAAAAGAAAGAGCTTGACTATATTTGAAAGTTCTCTGCTAAGATCCTGTGAGGCCAAAAGGGTTTTGTGCTCCTGTTCTACACCTCCTGCCTGTAGGGTGGGGGCAATCAGCCAGTGAATCTGCCACCTTCCCATACTGCTTGGCTTTGAGGTACTTTTCTCCAATGGAAAGGGTCACAGTTGATTGAAGCTGACATACTCCCCCCCCCCATAAGGTTAGACTGTAAAATGTGAATTGTCTTTTTTTAAAAAAGTTGCATAGCAGCTAAAGTGTCTTGGATTGAAATTCAAAATAAAGAGAAGCTATCACTGGAGAAAGGAGTTAACTGACAGATTTGTTTGTTGCAGAGGTTCTGCTATGCCACCAGAAGCAGATGTTTCAGTAAGGAAGTGGCCAGTCTAAGAGACAAAAGGCGGATCAGAAATGGGCTTCTAGGCGGATGCAGGTGTGGCTTGAAAGACCTGGAAGTACATTAAAGAGAGACATCTCAGCAGGCAGTTAATAACAGGGGTTTCTTTTATACCATGTGACATTGGTTCCTAACCCATTTTTAGGATGATGGCTTGAATTTTAAACAGGCTTGGGGGAGAGGGCAAGCTGTCGTGCAGTTTCAGAAAATGAGCTAGTGGCTCTTTGGTGCAGTCAGAAGGGCAACGCACATCCCCTCTCCAGAACAGCAATTGTAATCTCTTTAAATTGTTAACTGTTAATAATTCTCCTGCCTGGTACATGGCACAATGTGAGGGATTATTTGTCTAGGGGAGGAAGGGGGGGGGAGGCTTGAGTATTCTCAAAGGTACAGAGTAGCCCTCTGTCATCGCCTGCAGAAGCTATTACCACCAAATTTGATGAAAGATGCTGCTGTTGCTCATAACAACCGTTGCTAAGCGACATTTGCCAGCATGCAGAAGGAACAAAATTTGCTGCAGAATTACCGTGCTATTTATCATAGTTGTACCATTGGTTTTGTTAAGGAAACTCATGGCACATAAAATTGCGTGTATATGATAGAAATATCATGCATACATGGCAAAGAGAAATCATTTAATGGGAGAGTATTAAGGAGGCAAATATAGATTTACTTGTATGGGTTTGGATTCATCCATGCCGTTTTTGAGATTTCTGGTTAAAACCTTCAGGAAAATATAGTCTGTTGCCAAATTAAATAAAACCTAGCCAATTAAGCATAACAAATCTTAATTGATTAATCAATCAATCAATCAATCAATCCTTCATTAATTTGCACTTGATCAGTTCTTACGTTCTGGGAGGAGGTGTGTGTGAATCTGAATTTACAATTTTTTAAATCTCTGTAGAGATTATGGCATAAGATTAACATAACTCTAATATGACATGAGACCCTCGATGATGAGTTTTGGTGATCCTGGAAGAAGCCAGATTCCAGCCCTGCTAAAAGGCCTTGGGCATACCCACATCTGACCTAAGGGACACGAGTGGCACTGTGGTCTAAACCACAGAGCCTAGGACTTGCCGATCAGAAGGTCGGCAGTTCGAATCCCCGCGACGGGATGAGCTCCCGTTTTTCGGTCCCTGCTCCTGCCAACCTAGCAGTTCGAAAGCATGAAGTGCAAGTAGATAAATAGTTACTCCGGTGAAAGGTAAACAGCATTTCCATGTGCTGCTCTGGTTCACCAGAAGCAGTTTAGTCATGCTGGCCGCATGACCTGGAAGCTGTCTGCGGACAAACGCCAGCTCCCTTGGCCAGTAAAGCGAGATGAGCGCCGCAACCCCAGAGTCGTCCGTGACTGGACCTAATGCTCAGGGGTCCATTTACCTTTAAATCTGACCTAAAGAATTAACATATGCAAATTTAGATGCTAAGTACAAGATATTCAACACCTCAATGAGATGCATCCCCACAATAGGAAGGTGATTTGAAGCCAGATCACAGACAGAGATGGCCAGTCTTACTATCCAAACTCTTTCACCCTTTTGTTAAGCAAGCACGATGGCCAGCTTTAGTCATTTTTCACTAAGGTGGCTGGGGCAAGGATTAGGCAGGAAATTCCGGAAGTAACTATGGGAATTGTAGAAACCACTCATTTCACAGCTGTCTCCCCTCTCCCCTGGCATGCCTTGGCAAAAGGTGTATAAATCCAGGGCCGTCTTAAGCATAGCCAGCACTGTGGTACAAAGATCCCTCAGGCGCCCCCCCTCCCATTTCCCAGAGTTGTTGTCAACCTTTCCCCAAGCCTCTGCGGAGATCGCTCTCCTCCTGCGGAGGCTTGGGAGGCAAGCTGCACGCCCGCCAGTCATATGGTTGACAGGGCACAGCTGGTGGGTGTGCAGGGAAAGGGGAGGCCGCCGGCAAAGCCGCGCAGCTCCCCCACTTGCTGGGGTGCCCCTGAGAGGCCAGCGCCCTGGCGCAACAGGCCAGTAACCCCAATGGGAAAGACGGCTCTGTATAAATCTCTTAAATTCAAAGGTTAGTTAGCTCTTCTAGCTGCAACAGGAGAGCACTTACCCAGGGCTCCCCAGGGCTCTGCGCAAATCTGCTTCGTTTTGCGGACAGGTATTCTTCCCTCTGCCTTTTCTCTACTTGTAGTTTATGCCCACATTTCTGTAGCCTCTTAGAAGAGTTAGGGAATCTTCTACTCTTTTATCAAGGTGTGCATGTATTGTAATTTGCTACCTGCTTAGACTGTAACTCTGCTGTCTAAAGCAGCATTTTATGTATTCTGTCACTCATATTTTCTATAATAAACCAAGCTTTCTTTGTTTCTTTGTGCAAGAGCTTCTTGAGGGCATAAGGTTAACACACAACCATAACAAGCGCATATCATAAGTCCAGCAAAAGATCCTAGACCCCTTAATCTTGTGTATAGGAACATACATAAGAGCTGGCTGAGCACATGGCAGTCCAGGTCCACACTCATAGCAGTTCCTGCCAAGAGGCATTTCCTGTTCTGTGTGTGTTTGTGAGAGGTAAGAGTGTTTGTGGGAGAAAAGGAATGCTTCTTCTCAGATGGCACCTGCCACCTACAGCTTGTGTAGGCACTTGTATTAGAAATATTTATTTATTTTTAAAACTTCTCCATGTTTACTAGGATGGCACTCCTTTAAATAGTCAAAAGATGAGCCAGCTCAGCCCAGCGGTTCCATCGACCAAAGCATTGCTTTGATCCCCTAATCGCTTTGATTATGGTTTGACATGCGCGGGCGCTGCCTGGCTTTAAAAAATAAAATAAAAAATAGTCAAAAGATTTGCATCAATCGTATGTACGCTTACTAGGGACTAAGCTCTGTTGAACCCAATGGGACTTACATCTGAGTAAAGATGCAGAGGATTGTGCTTTGAAAGGTGGCTGATGAGAAGCTTATTTTGCAGCCCTAGAATTCGTAAGAGGAGTGGAAAGCTACTATTCATATATGGATGTGTAGAATTCTAGAGTTACAATGGACCTTGCAGGTTATCGGTTCCTTTCCCTTAGTGCAAGATCTACAGTACAGAATTCAACTACAATATCCCTGACAGATGGCCATCTAACCCATGGGTAGGCAAACTAAGGCCCGGGGGCTGGATCCGGCCCAATCACCTTCTGAATCTGGCCCACAGACGGTCCGGGAATCAGCGTGTTTTTACGTGAGTAGAATGTGTGCTTTTATTTAAAATGCATCTCTGGGTTATTTGTGGGAAATAGAAGTTCGTTCACCCCCCCCCAAATTAAAGTCTGGCCCCCCACAAGGTCTGAGGGACAGTGGACTGGCCCCCTGCTGAAAAAGTTAGCTGACCCCTGATCTAACCGCTACTTAAACATCTGCACATCACCTAAGATACCTCTGTTCCAAGAGAGAAAAATATTTACCCCAGAAATCTTTGTATCATTTCCAACACAACACCTGCTTGTGGGTGGGTGGCAGTGGTTGTGGTGCCTGCGTGCTGTGTGGCACAATGGTTAGAGTGCCAGACTTGGACCTGGGAGACCTGGGCCCAAATCCCACCTCGGCCTTCATGAAGCTCACTGGGTGACCTTGGGCCAGGCACTGCCTCTCAGCCTAGCCTCCCTCACAGGGTTGTTGTGTGGATTAAATGAGGAGGGGGGCCACTTTGAGTAGGCCACCTTGAGCTCCATGGAGAAGAAAAGGTGGGGTGTGAATGCAATTAAAAAAACAAACTGCAGAGATCTCAGGAAATGAGGCTTTAAACAAACAAAGAACTTTGTTCTCCAATTGATTCTTAGGGAAGCTAGACGTGTGGGCAGCCTTGTCCCACTCAGCAGGCTGCCTCCAAATGTAGTGTTTTTAGTTTGAATGAATGAATGGCAGCTATTCTTTTCTAAGGCAGAAAGGGAAAGGAGGCACATGGCACAGTTGTGGTTGATCTAGATTTGCTCTGTGGTAGCTGGGTGAGGGGGAACTTCAGCCCCTCAGTTGTATCTGACATGGCAGCCTTTTTTGCTTTGATTTGTGGAATTGAGTGGGATCTCGGAAGGACAGGGATGGATCTCACCCATTCACCTGCTCACCCCTGTTTGTTTTTTCTTTCTTGCTATGATGCTTCAGTGTGACAGAGTCTTGGAAACTTTCTCATAATATGTGATGTTACGCCCGAAGCGCATTTGTGCCCCACTTGTAGTGGCAACAATCTGCTGCCATCATCAAAGACTTCAGAGGGATTTCCTAAAGCTTTGCATCTGTAATTAAGGGCAGAATCCGGTCTGCACAAATCAATGTTTTAACTGACCACAAAATGAACAGCTTCTTTTTAATATTATCTTTTTGAACAAATTGCCACACCACTTAGCATATAATTCACATCCTGGGGTGAAAGGAGTTTGTTTTGAGTTTAATGGATTCATTATGCTTTTCATCATATAATATATCAATGCTTAATTGAATGGATTAGCTAAACATAATTAGGACAAGGGAGAAAGTGCATCTCCATCTTCTATAGCTCTTCCTTTTTTCCTGCTCTTGCTACTCCTTGAATATTAATTTCCTTCTTCTTTATTACCCTTTCCAATTTCGCCAATCAATAGGATCTCAGCTGTCATGTTGTTGGTTCATGTGGTCTAAATGGAATATTCATTCAGGATCAGAAGGGACATAATTGCCCTTTTGATCAGATCTGGTTTTTTAAAAAGAAAAAAAAACTCAGAGTGGCTTATTTATTTAGGTCCCAGGGTGGAAAATACATAGACATTAATCAAATTATACAGTACAGGAACTAAAACAAAAGAAATGGCTGTAATATAAATCACAGTGAAATTGGAACAATAGAATTAAGAAATATGGCAGCATGAGCAACATGTTGTTGTTTTATACTAAATACAAAAATCAGTTACAATAAGCACAACTAATAAACACAAACACACATAAAAGCTCAGGGTAGTTGGTAGAAAAGTAGGTGTGCTGGTAGATATTTGTAGAGGTTTAGCAGCTTTTAGACTGAATGTCCTTGCTTCCTAAAGGCCAGTTGTGTGGACTTCTGAGGTTTTAGCAAAAAGAGCCAGCAGACCCTTCTGTTTTTGTTGCTGAAGAGCATAAATTAAAAAGTTACTCCCGTACCTTCAGACGACCCCCCCAACCCACCCTATAAACAGGAACTCTGTAGCTTCTTGAAGATAGAGGCATTGTGCCTGTTTCCTGTTTCTTCAAATCAAATAGGAATTCATTCAACTTTTTCTTGCTTTTCACCAAATAGCTATAATTTACTGATTTATTAGTGTTGGGCGTTGAATTCCAGATTCAACACTCCTAAATCTGACTGATTGCCCTGTCCGTTGAGAGGCTTCCAGAACAGACTTTCACTGGCAATGGGTCTAAACTTCTATGCACCAGTTTTTTATTTGAATGCACATAATGCTCAGGGAGGTTAGGACTCTAACCAATGGTTTCAAGTTCCAAGAAAGGAGATTCCAGCTAAACATCAGGATGAGCTTTCTGACAGTAAGAGCTTTTTGACAGTGGAATGGTCTCCCTCAGGAGGTGGTGGACTCTCCTTCTTTGGAGGTTTTGAAGGAGAGGTTGGATGGCCATCTGCCAATGATGCTTTAGCTGAGATTCCTGCATTGCAGGAGGTAGGACTAGATGACCCTTGGGTCCCTTCCAATTCTATGATTTTATAAATGAACATGAGGAAATGAGGGGAATGGCAGGTGAGCCGTGGTTTCATTTTTTGTTTAAAATATAATTATTATCAGACAGCAGACTTGCACTGACAGATTGTTCCAAACTATGCTTTTTAGTAACTCACTGCCAGGAGGCTGCCAACCCAGTTAATATACATGCAAGTGGGTCAGACAACTCTAGCTGAGGAAATGAATTAACTGTGAAATATTTTGTTCATGTTAATTCAACCACTATATGCAGGAGATGCTCGATTTTGAGCACCTGATCAGTTCACCTTTGTTCTGAGCAGTTTCACCACTGAAATTTCTAAAATAATATTGCTAGCAGTTATAATAAGCTTCCGAGAAGCTGAGCCTCCTAAAGAACTCTGTCAAATTCCCCAAGTTACAGATATGGCCTGTTTTACCCAAAGCCATGTAGTTTCAAACCACATAACCCCCCTTGCTTTGGTACCAGAACATGGCTGTGGATTAGCCACTTCACTGGTAATATTTATGACAGAGCTGTTGTAACTAGGGATGTGTGGACACCCCAGTTGGTCACTTGTAGAAGTCAGTTGGTTGTTCACCACCCCTCAACCCATGTGATGTATCCGCAGACTACGAGTTGGAGCCCCAGCAGGGGCCTCAGAGATTTCCTGCTCCCAGCAGAATAGCTTCTTCCAGAGTCCCCAGTAAAGGCCATCAGCCGAAGCTGGTGGAAGGCACTCTGTGTGTGAGGCCACCTCAACCTCAAGTGACAGCAATGGATTCAGAAATACCCGCAAGATGCATACCCGCTCTTCAAGAGCAGGCAACAGTGCGTCCATCCGGTCTATGAACTGCCCACTAGCAGTGCCTCAGCCGTATCTAGATTATGCTTCAGTCTGTTGGCTCTCATCCAGTCCATTTCAGAGGCTGCAAGGCAAGGCATACCTACTGCCTCACCTGCAGATGTAAAGGTGCTTTAGGTGAAATTCAATGCCAACACAGTTTTGTAAACCTGCTACTGCTGTCCAGGGAATTGAGAGAATTTAGGGGGGTTCCATCAGGCTCATGAATGTTTCAGTCATGATCTAGGCCAGACCACACATGCACAGATTTCTCCTGCAGCGACACAACCTGTGGTGTCGCTGCATCGTCTCCTACAGCATTGCTGAAGCCATTAGACCCAAGAATCAGGTTTTGGAGTTTTGTTTTTGGAATCCATAACTGATTCTCCACAACATTCTGGAAGTTTGGTAGAATCCAGATGAAAAGAAATCCTGTTCTGCCAAACCGTTTCCAGAGCCAATCGAGTTTGCCTCTTTCTGCCCACACAGCACAGGCGAGACAAGAGACGTCTGCTCTTATGCAGTCTGTTTCCTTAGAGTGCAAGATTTCTATTAATTTATTTCAGTAGAATATCCAAGACAAGTTAAAATGGTAGAAAAGGCCTTTCCCCCTCTTAAGCATCAAAACCACAGCCTCAAAATAAATTGTGGGATACTCAAGAGAAGCCTTGATTCAATCATTATCAGGCTTTCCCCCTAAGACCTTGCACAATGGAAAATCAATGCATTAAGTCTTTATCGTTTGAGCACTTGGGCCTAGAGTTCAAACCATGATATTCCTTTCATTCATTTTCTTGCATGAGAATGCCTATCATGTTACGCTCGCTATGTAAGGTATTCTGCCACAGGGATTCATATCTTAGAATGGAGCCCTGCTGGTAACTGTTTTAGTGTGCAGCTTTTATAATCAATTATTGTTGTTATTATTTATTAAATTTGTACATGGCCTTCATCTGAAGATCCCAGGGTGGCTCACAACAGAAAAATTAAAAATGAAAATACATGTATTGTGTATCCAACATTGCTTTTGCCTTTCACTTACTGTTCAAGTGCCTCATTCTACTGGACCCATGGATGCTCCTTCCTGTGTAGGAAACAGGGTCTTTTGTCAAATGGCCTGTGATTTGGAAATACTGAATTACTGACCCGTAAATGTTTTCATGATCTTTTGTAATACAGTGGTACTTCGAGTTAAGAACTTAATTCGTTCTGGAAGTCAGTTCTTAACCTGAAACTGTTCTTAACCTGAGATACCACTTGCTAATGGGGCCTCCCACTGCCGCTGCACGGTTTC